CACAGCAGCCCTTCCTCAGAGCCTGAAGCAGAGGTTGGAAGGAAGAATGGGAGAGTCCATAGATCTGAGAGTCATTTAAGAACTGAAAATGGAAAGACATGTGAGGTGGCACATGGAGGGCACTGAGAAGATGGCACAGTGTCAGGCCAAGTAGGCCTTGGGTTCTGGGCTGGGATCTACCTTCACCGCAGGAGGTGGACCTGCACTTTATCCACCACCACAGGGACAAGTCAGCATTCACATCAGAAGCAAACCAAGAGGAACACGTCTAAGAAAACAGCAAAACCTGTGCAAGTTTATGGAAAAACACAGAAAGTCTGGAATAAATGGAAATGAGTACCCAGTGCCCAATAAAACAGCCAGGATTATAAATGCTTCAGTTTCTCCAAAAGGTAGCTGACTCGGGGCCATACTAATCAAAATCCAGTATATGTCTTGGATTCTGAAATGGAAATGGAAAAGCAGAGTCTAGGGAAGGTCAGCAGAGTCTGAGAAGGAAGAATATGGTAGGGGGAAATTTTCCACAGTCAGGAATACAGTGGCACAGCACGCAGTGTGTGGGATGAGGCAGGCTGGTGCAAACACATGCATGGGCAGGAAACAGAATAGATTTCTAGAAAAAGTGCCCCTTAGTACAGGAACTAGATGGGTGTGCATTGCATACCCATAGGGAAAGGACACTATTAAATATGCCAGAACAGCTGCTTTCTTGTTTGGGAAGACATGAAGTTGGATCCTTTCTGCACTCCATAAGCAAAGATCAAATCCTGTTGGCCTTTAGCCTTGGTGTGAAGGTTAAGCTTCTCAAGGAGGCAGAGGAGTATGCTTTTTTTGATGCTGCAGCAGCAGAATTCCTTAAATGATGCACTTCTTTAGCTAAGCACAAAAGATGGGCAGATGTGGCTGTTTTATTACCAGTACTTCAAATTCTAGAAGCTCAAAACTAGAGGAAACTAAAGAAAGACTTTTAAGAGGCACATTACTAATTATGGGTTAGGAGTTGTGAAATAAAAAATATGAAAAAGAAAAATCCATAGAAAAGCAAACATTTGTGAGACATGGAATTCTGGCTTCTCATAAACACACGAACAGATTTCTGTGGCTGGTAATTAATGAAGAGAACTCTTTATTAGAAATAGATAGGACAGAGACAGCGTTTTATACAGCAGCCCTTGTCCTGGCCACTTATCTATACACTCTTTAAAGCTTTACTATCTTGTTTATTAATTCAGGTGGACTTCCAGGTCAGCACCGTACCGTCTGTGAATGAAGCAATGTGGCTGCGTCCTGGTTCTTCTATTTTTCACTTATTTCCTGACCTTCATCTCCTGGGTGCTATGGCGGACCCAGCTACCCATAGATTCTGAGCTCTTGAAAATCAGCCTGTGCTACCTTTAAATTCATAGTTTAAGGTTAACATGCAGTTTATAAACTGAAGCAGTATGAACATTTCCCCATTAAGCACAACGTGAGTGTAAAACTATACTTAATTGTGTCAAAAAGACCCATTTTCCCCCTCACCTCACCAAAAAGATTTTATCTTATTATGGTAGGAATTCATTTTTTACTTTAACAGATATGGATACCAGAACACTTAACATTTAAAAGTACCCATGTAGCTCTACGAACCCTTACTCTTGAATGATATTGAATAGAAGCAGTAAACAGCCTCATCCTGGTGACATTGAAAAGAATGCTTCTAACATTTCACTATTAATTATAGTATTTGACTGGGAATTCATTATTAAGGTTTCTTCTGTTCTTATTCCTACAAATAATAGATGCTTAAGTTTATCAATCATTTGTGCATTGGAAGAAAAGGCCATATAGCATTCCTTATCTGAACTGTTATTATGGTAACATGTGGTTTGGCCCCAGAGTGCCCCCAGAGGCCAGTTGCTGAGGACCCCCACCCCAACCCCATCTAGATGTTATTGGGATATGGTGAAACCTTAAGAGTTGGAGCCTAGTTCAAGCTAAGTCATTGGAACTTTTTTAAAAAAATTTATTTTATATATATGATTGTTTTGCCTGTCTGTATGTGTGTGCAATGCCTGTGGAGACGAGAAGAGGGTGTCAGATCCCCCGAAACTGTAGTTATGGATAGTTGTTAGCTGCCATGTGGATGCTGGGAACTGAACCCCGGTTCTTGCAAGCATAGTCAGTGCTTTTAACCACTGAATCATCTCTTCAGCCCCATAACTTTTTAAAAAAAGATTTATTTGTTTCTATTTTATGTGTATGAATGCTTTATCTGAATGTATGTAAGTGCCTGGTGCCTGCAGAGGCCAGAAGAGTGTTGGATCCACTGGAACTGAAGTTATAGACAGTTGTGGACCACCATGTGGTTGCTGGGAACTGAACCCAGGTCCTGTACAAGAGCAGCAAGTTCTCTTAACTTGCTGAGCCATTTCCCTAGTCCCAAGTTACATCACTGGAAATGTGCCCTTGAAGGGGATGCTGGGCCTTAGCCCCTTCCTCTTCTTCTCTTTTGTACCTGGCTAAGAAGTGAATGGGCTCAGTGTTTCAGAAATACTTGTGAAAAAGTATATTTTCTATTTGTTGTATGCAGGCTTCCATATGTCCAATAAACCAGTGGGTTCCTTACCTATGGATTTGACTAACCAAGGATCAAAAACTATTTTTTACAGCTGCACTGAACATGAACACATTTTTTCTTGCCATTATACCAGAATAATAGAGCATTAGCAACAGTTTATACAGCATATACACTGTATAAGGTATTGAATATAACCTAGAGAATTTACAAGCATATGCTAGACTGTGTATAGGTTGGAACTATGCCACTTTTTAATAAGGGACTTGAACCAGATATTGTGGTGCACACCTTTAATCTAGCACTCTGGAGGCAAAAGCAGTCAGATTTCTGTGAGAGCGAGGCCAGCCTAGCCTAGAGAGTGAATTCTAAGCCAACTAGGGCTACAGGGAGACCCCACCTCAAAAAGAAAACAAACAAAAAAATTAAATAAATAAAAAAGAACTTGAAAATTCATGAGTTTTGATAGCCACAGGGCTTCTGGAATCTATCTTCCAGGAGTACAGAGGAAAGACTAAGTGGCAAAGTTAGACTGGCATTTCTCCTGGTGACATATTTGTTTAAACCTCTATATGTGTTCAGAATTGTGTTATGTTCTTGATGGAGTAGAAATGTATCATTTTATATAGTAATCCACTAAGTTACTGTGTTGATTACTCAAATAACCTTATTCAACATGAAATCTCCTCAGTCATCCTGCATTTGAAGAGCTTGAGCCTCCCTACCCCACCCCCACCCCAGATATAGTAGATGAAACCATATATATATATATATATA